ATTTATTTAATTTTCTTCCTTTATATAGGAATTAGATGAAGTGCTTCTGTCAGCTAATTTCTAAGTTATTATCTAAAAAAAAAAAGTTTTCAGGTGCCTAAGTAGCCCCTGGACTCACAGTTAAAGTTGCCCCCCTCCCACCAAAATCTGAAATGGTGCCCCTGGCTGTCACTTCCTGCTTTCTTTACTAACAAGATCTGTTCTATGTTGTGTTGACGATGACTAATAAACCCTTCTGTTTCACAACGGTGGCTGAGAGTCACTGCTGACTGCAAAGCTGGAGGGCATATAAGGCTTCCCCATGTGTCCCATTCAGGTGGACTCCCTGTGTGAACAGGGGTGCTGAACACTCCGAGGTCAGACCCAGGAGGTGCTAAAGAGGAGGAGGCTTGCCCGAGTGAGAGTATGCCCAGAGGGGAGACACACTGCACTACAGTCCTGTCTGACTTCATTCAGAGTGGTTCCAAAGCACTGAGTCTGTGACTCCATGACAACAACAGATTGAAACAATTATGTATGTGGATGTATAAGAAATACCTTGTCTCCAATATATGTTTGCAAGACCAATTCAATAATACAAAGTCTCTATATAAAGTATAACTATATATATAGTGTATATATAGTGTATATATACATATAGTAATACTTTATATAGATATAGTCAGTAATATAAAGTCTCTAAATACATATTTCCTCCACATACCACAACCCTCTCAGAGAAAGCCCCCTAAATACATAATTGCAAAACTGTATATGTATAATTAGGGTAAAAATCAAAGGAATATTACTGTAAAAATATCCTACATCCTAAATGCAAAACTACATTTAAGAGGTATGAGCAAATGCACATATTTTCGGTGTACAGGTGAATCGCATCATAGGCGCGTTTAACTTACACGAAATCAACTATACGCACTCGGCAAAAAAGAAGAAAAATAATAGGATACCTGTAAATAGTGCGAACGATTCCGCCCACCATTCCACTCAATGAGCATATGCCCTGGAGTGAGTGTGAGATGGGAGACGTGAATCTGCTGTTCCCTCAGTCGGTCTCAGTTCCCACGTGCCTCTCATAGTGTGAGCATCTCGCCATGCTGAGTGTGATTCTAGTGTTTAAAAATACTGTATGTATTTTTCGTACAACATGGCCCCTAAACGCAAGCCAACTACTTCATCTGGTGCTCAATCGAAGAAACAGCTATCTGTTCCAATGCTGGAGGAAAAACTGGCTGTGTTGGATTTATTGAGAGATGGTATGTCAGTCTCCAACATGGCACAGAAATATGGCTGCAATGAATCTAGCATCCGTGCCATCAAGATTCGAGAGAGAGAAATTCATCAAGCCGTGGCATTAAGTGCTCCAATAACTGCTAAGGTTATGAGCCAGGTGCATGATAAGACTTTAGTGAAGACTGAAAAGGCATTAAACTTATGGCTGGGAGACATGAACCGTAAATGTGTGCCTATCGATGGCAACATGTTGCGAGAAAAGACTCTTAGCCTCTACGCGCTGTTCAAACCTCCCGCCAAAGAGGGACAACCTTCTGATGAGAAGGAATTCAAAGCCAGCCAAGGATGGCTTAACAGTTTTAGGAACTGCTTCAACCTCAAAAACATGCAGACTACTGGTGAAGCTGTATCTGCCAATGAAGAGGCAGCAAAAGCCTACCTCGAACAATTAAAGAAAATCATAGAAGAAAAGGGCTATCTTTGGAACAAGTTTTTAATGCTGACGAGACTGGGCTCTTCTGGAAAAAAATACCCAACCGCACTTAAACTTCGAAATCAGAAAGACAAGCCCGTGGCTTCAAAGCAGCTAAAGACTGTGTGACTGTTGTTTTGTGGCAATGCGGCTGGGCATTTAATAAAGCCGGGCTTGCTCTACAGGGCTGCAAATCTCCGTGCCCTAAAAGGCAAGAACAAAAATCTCCTGCCTGTGTTCTGGCAATCAAATAAAAAGGCTTGGGTGACAGCAGCATTATTTCTGGATTGGTTCCACAAGTGTTTCATTCCTGAGGTCAAGCGGTACCTTGAAGAGAAAGGACTTGACTTTAAAGTGTTGCTGATCGTAGACAATGCTCCTGACCACCCTGCGGCACTCCGGTTTGCGCATAATGACGTTGAAGTCGTCTTTCTCCCTCCCAATACCACCTCCATCCTCTAACCTCTCGACCAAGGCGTGATTCGCTGTTTCAAGGTCATGTACACAAGGCTTACGTTCTCACGGATACGTAGCATTATGGATGCTGATCCCAATCTTAATGTAATGGAGTGTTGGAAGTCCTTCAACATTGCTGATTACATCACTTATATTAAACAGGCAATGGATGCAGTCAAGCCTGAAACAGTCAATGCATGTTGGCGAAACCTATGGAAAGAATGTGTGAATGATTTTAAGGGTTTCCCAACCATTGACAAAGAAGCGAAACGCATTGTTCAGATGGCCAGGCAAGTGGGTGGTGATGGCTTCGTTGACATCCTTGAGGAAGAAACTGAAGAATTAATTGAGGGCCATAGAGAAACACTGACTAACAAAGAGCTAGAGGAACTGATAAAATCGTCTATAGAAGATGAAGATGATGACGACGAACAGGAAGAGCCAGCAAGTTGGAATCTTCATAAATTTGCTGAAGTGTTCAAAGCAGCAAAACACTTGAATGATTTAATTTCTGAATACAATCCCTCTATGGAACGAAGCCTCGTATTACGGACGATTTGAGACCATATCAAGAAATGTTTGAGCAGCTCAAGAGACAACAGCGACAGTTGCCAATCACCATGTTTTTCAAGGAAAAAGAACAAGCAGCAGATGAGCCTACGCAATCAACTTCTCAAGCTGAACCGGAGCCAACCACTTCGTCTACGACTCACTCTCCGTCACCCAAGCTCTCCGTCACCTCCGTCTCCTAGATCAACATCAAGCCCTAATGACCTCCTGTAATTACCTCCCTGTAATTACCCCCTGCAATTAAAAATACAGTACTGTAAAATTATATTTTGCATATGTACTCTTTATTATATACTGTATACATTACACATTTACATCTATTACTGTACAGGGTTGTATACACAAAACCATGTACAGTATACTGTACTTTATGGGTAATTTAAGGAATTTTCAAGGGTAATTTTGACTATATGCGATTTTCGCCTTACACATTGACTTTAGAACCTAATCCCTGTGTAAGATGCGACTCCACTCTGTATTCTATGTAAGGGTTATTTCTTTTTGCTTACTTTCAGCAGACTTATCATTTTAGTTGTTTAATAATAAGGTTTACTTGAAATTCAACCAAGTTTCTCTATGAGGGCCTTGCTTAAATGCAAGTCAACTTGTCATGAATTTTTTTTTTATACTACAGTTTTCCAGCAAGAAATCCCTGTTCTTGAACAGTGGTAAGGACAGTAATGGAAAATATAATTTTCTCCATCAAGATTAACTACAGAACAGAATAAGAAAAACAACATGAGTCATCAGGAGTCCTACACTGGTTAGCATGTTCTAGAAGGCCTGGAATCAGAGGACTGAACTTAATTTCAGGATAGTTAGGCAAGAACCCCTCCTACACGTACTGTAAGACTCATTAGCTGGCAAATTACCTAAGTTTTCTGCACTGGTTACCAATTTACTTCCAGGTGAAATTCAAGTTGGTAGGTTACTATCTGTAAAGCCCTTTATGATGCAGGTCCCATTGCAGCAATCACTGGAACTTTCACTTTTAGAATTAACTTCCACTAGAACAGTCTGAACCCACATCTGGCCCCTATGGAATATACTGTAAAATTTAAATCTTTGTTAAATAAAACCAGTCCTGGAATCCACTGATATTTAGTCTGTCATCTGAGTTTTCCCATCTCTGACTCCTTCAGAGAAATTAGCTTGCATCTGTAAGGGTTTGGGATATATACATCCCCAACTTTAGGAAATGTTTGTTTTGTACCCTATGTAAATATCATCCAGATTCTACAATAGTAGGTGCATGTAAACAGATGAGATCCTTCATCTCAGTTTTCATGCAGTACAACACAATGCATTACCATTCAAACTCACCCCCTTCTTGGTGTTTTACCTTCATTAATTAACTTATGTTCCCCAGGGCAGGACTTAGCTTATAAACCTAAACCTTATCCTGGGTCTACTTTTCAGCTGGCAGCTACTAAGGTTTCTCCACGAAGGACATCACATACATCATCCTATCTTTCTCACCTCAGAAACAATGTCATACTTTTAGTGAATCAGAATAAATGAGACCTACCTGGTCTAGCTACCAGGACAACTCAACAGAATCACTCTGTACCTCCACATAGTGTCCTATACTCTGCCACCTGCCATAGGGTATTGGGCATGGATGTAAATAATAATTATACAAGCAGTTTATATCAGATTTACCTTTGTGATCTACTGCTATTACAGAATAGTATGACCCCTTACATATTATCAGTGAACCTATTCGCATAAATACCATTAGTATGCAACATGTAAAATAAGAAGTTTTGACAGGTCACAAAGGTAAATTTGAAGTTGACCAGATAAGGTGACAAAAGTTGAAAAGGAATTCCCTTCCTCTGAAGAACGGCTGTATTAAAATTGAAATATTTGGTATAGCAAACAAAGCCATTTAGAAAGTAGAACTCTCAAACATTAGAACAAAATTATATTTCTTTTGAATTAGTTCACTTTTTCTAGTAAGTAATTTAGTAACTGATTTTTGGAGGAAGCTGATTGTTCAATTATGTTACATTACTTCACTTTTTAAATCTCTTTATATTTGATAAATGTTTTATCTGATTTAGTGAATTTTAAAAGCAAACTGTTTTGGAAAACTATTTTTAGGAAACATTTTTTAGGAAACACTAAGAAGCGCAAAAAAATTCAAAGTTAAAACTCCATTTTTAAACCATTGCTAATGAACAAACAAAAGAGATTCACAGGTGTTGATGTTTTTACTTACACAAAAGCATTAAAGCATGTCAACAATTTGTACAGAATTTTAACTTACTCGTGCATTAATGGTAGTATGGTCCATGCACCATCATGTCTGTCCATCTGATGAATAAGCAGAACTCTAGGTAATTCCTTTAAGAAAACCAAAAATATTCTTATGAGACAACAAAGTATTTTACAACACAGTATTTTCTTAGATGCCTAATTAATTTTAAAACTAAATTCTTGTGGAAAGACTATTTCACTCTGTTATTTTCCACAGAACTGAGTAGCAAACAGGCTTGTAGACTAAAAGAGACTAGGGATGTAGCAGAGGGATATAATTCAGACTCTTGGAGAGGGAACTTCTTGCAATTTCTTGTTTCTAAACCCTCTCTCAGGTATAAAACTAATGCACCTCTCACTTCAGTGAAATTTTATAACTATTCTGGATAATCTATCTGGTTATACCACTTCTGGAACAATGAAATGTTTATCTTATAAAGACAGTGTCTATAAATGAAAGTGGAGTATGCAAACTCTTCTAATGAATTATACATAAATTATGTTAACCAGAAATATTTATTAAATTCTATAGAGCTAATTTATCATCTAACAGAGGATTATAACATAAAGCCCACTATTCTTGATGACACCATTGTTTTTGTTCCAATTCCACTGGTATTGTTAGGAGTAGTTACTACAAGTATGCAGTGTCCCCAGATTTCCAGTCAAGACTTAAATCAACAATCCAGTGTATTTTACAGGACATTATATGTTTTACTAAAATTTCAAACAACATTTGGCCGTTTACTGTTAGTGTGATTCAAGAACCACCATTGCACGTTATCAGAACACATTTTATGAATATCATAACAATATGATCTAATGGTTCTAGGTAAGAAAGCAAAAGGATGAAAGGGCTGGATTAATATACACTTTGGATATAAGCAGGAGTTACACACAAAATTTATAGGGTAATTTACAGTATATGTAGGAAGAGAGCAGTCTGAACAAAGTAAACTGGTTCAATCACCTTTCCTTGGCTCAGCTCCTCTCTTTTGGGAAGCACCAATGGGATGAAGCTCAGAAAAAGCACTCTCCCTCTCCTCATATCGGAGGCTCCTCCATTAATGGAAATGGAGGGAACAATCTTATCCTTAGCACAATATCTTTTCCTGTACACATATTATTATTATTATCCCTTTCCCTTAGGTTTAGTCTACATTCTGCTCTTGTAAGCTCTCTCTTTCTGGTGCTGTCCTTCTCCTTCTTTCCTAACTCTCTCTAAAACCAGAAAATGTTAGGGTGCCGATCTTCCCTTTTATCCATCTCCAGAGATGCACCAACTCTATTCTTCTCCTATTATTCAAGCAGTGGTCTACAGAATCTATTCTGTCATAGCACATATGTTTCTCCAACATGACAGAGGTTGTCTATATGGCTCCTACTTCAGCATTTCACATCTCTCTGCCAAAAGCCTTGCTAAATTATGCTAGGGTTGCAAACTTTCTAATTGCACAAAACTGAACACATTTGCCCCACCCCTTGCCCCTGCCCTGCCCCTTCTCCGAGGCCCGTCCCCCACTCACTCCATTCTCCCTCCCTCCGTCACTTGCTCTCCTCCACCCTCACTCATTTTCACTGGGCTGGGGCAGGGGGTTGGGGTGCAGGAGGGGGTGAGGGCTCTGGCTGGGGGTGCAGGTTCTGGGGTGGGACCAGAAATGAGGGGTTCAGGGTGCAGATGGGGCTCAGGGCTGGGGCAGGGGGTTGGAGTGTGGGAGGGAGTGCAGGGTGCAGGCTCTGGGAGGGAGTTTGGGTGCGGGGGGGGCTCAGAGCTGGGGCAGGGGGTTAAGGTGTAGGAGGGGGCACGGGGTGTAGGCTCTGGGAGGGAGTTTCGGTGCAGGAGGGGGCTAAGGGCTGGGGGGGTGGGGTGGGGGGGTTGGGGTGTGGGCTCTGGCCAGGTGGTGCTTACCTCAGGCGGCTCCTGGAAGCAACAGGCATGTCCAGCTCCTAGGCAGAGAGGCCAGGGGGCTCCACGTGCTGCCTGCCCCTGCAAGTGCCACCTCCACAGCTTTCCTTGGCCACGGTTCCCGGCCAATGGGAGCCTTGCAGCCAGTGCTTGGGGTGGAGACAGAATGCGGAGCCCCCGTGGCCACCCCTGCGCCTAGAAGCCAGACATGCCTGCTGCTTCTGGGAGCCGCAGAGAGCCAGGGCAGGCAGGGAGCCTGCCTTAGCCCCACTGCGCCGTCGACCTGACTTTTAGAGGCCCAGTCAGCAGCGCTGACCGGAGCCACCAGGGCACCCTTTCAATCAGGCGTTCTGGTCATTTTTTAATTACTTTTTTAAAGTCACTTCTGGCTTGGAACGTAGCGTAACGCACTTCAGCCCAAAATGTGCTAGGCCCTGTAGAAACATACAGGCAGTAGTAGTCCCTGCCCCTAAGATCTTACAATCTGCACAGACAAGACAAACAAGCAAACATTTATTTAACGGTTAGGTACCTGTCTTCAAAGTACTTTATAAACATTAAAGCAATCTTATAACTCACCAGTAGATAAGCTGTAATAAAATTATTTTATAGGTGTATAAATGAGGCAGAGGGATGCTAAAAGCATTGCTCAATCCACAGTGAATCAAGCAGAGCTAGAAACAGAACTCAGGGCCATGACTTTTCCTAGCTGTATGCATTAAAAATCTTCTCCATCAGTAAGCTAAATATTTTGAGAATGGCTTATCAGATTTCCACATGAAAATAACTGCTCAGAGTCTAATAATTTTTTAAACATTTTTGTTAATACTGAAATTTCACAGATTAACTGCTAATCTGAGACAAATATTGGCAGAATGTGGCTATGCAACCTAATTTAACCAAATCTGGTATGCAAATACCTAGATTCACATAGTATTGGATATAGTTTCACAGCTGTACAGTGAAATCTATCAGAATTGTACAGCTACAGCCAATGTGTAAAGAAGCAGTGTACTAACCAAGAAGAGATTAGAACTTTCATCGATTTTAAGGCCAGAATGAGCCTCTGTGATTACCCAGTTTGATCTCCTGCATAACACAGCCACAGAAGTTCACCCTGGAATTCTTATGTCTAACCCAACAATTTGTAGTTGAGCTAGGGCATATCTTTTAGAAAGTCTTCCAATCTTGATATTGCTATGATATATGTAACATGCCCTGTGTGACTTCTACATGCCATTGTATGTGAGTGCCTTGTAATCGTCAGTGAAATATAAAACTCAGTAGTGGATGGTGATATTTGTATTTAAACTACAAGTCATCTGATCAAAGCTTCAACAAATGCATGCCCAATACAAATTATGACTATGTAGAAATACATAATATACACCAGAAAGGGAGAAGAGCTAGATAAAATAAAGGACTATGTTTGTACAAGAACAAATGAATAAATTTAGGCTGAAAATCAGAAGAGAGTTTCTAACCATCAAAGGAGTAAGGTTCAGGAACAGCCTTCCAGTTGGAATACTAGGGGTGAACAACCTAGCTAGTTTTAAGATGGAGCTTGATAAATTCATGAAGATTATATGAAGGGGTTGCCTTTGACAGCAGCAGACTGGACTCAGTGACCCAGGATGAGTTCTATGTTCCTATGTAGCAATTTATTCAACCCTCTCACACAGAAGAAGTGCAAAATATATCCAAAAGGTTCTCTTGGATTTTCCTTTAAAAAGACATACCATATTGTAGGTCTCTGTAGGATTTCTGACATAGTGAAAAGACAGTGCAAGTCTCTGAGCTCAAAACTCATAAAGAAGGGCATCGTGCCAGGAATTCTTACTGTCAAATGCAATGAACTGCTTTTTTTTTACGAGAGTGATCACCTAACTAAATTCACTTAAAACTAAATCTGTATTTATAATAATCAATTTTAAAATGCTTTGAAGCCACAAGTATTGATAAGCATCAGACAACCAGTTATATTCCAAGGAACCCGAACCATTTTTTCACAAAATTTTATCCAAACAAAAAATGCAAGGGATGTAAAAATATTGGTTTTGCATGAAACTACCAGTAACAAAATTGCTTTATTTCAACTTAACACATCATCAGTTATTAGGTTGTTTATCCAAGGTTGCCTTGACCTACTACTCCTGCCCAGAACTGTACAGTGTTTATCTCTTTTATGAAGTGCACAATTTAGGAATTCCGCCCAAAGGAACAAAAGGTGTGCAAATATCAACCAGTTAGTATTTTTTATCCTTCCCCATTAATTTGCCTATTTTAGAAGCTTTTTAAACAAGTAGCTACCAGCAAGGAAAAAAAAAATTATTCTGTGTTAAGTCTCCCTCTGAATATAGATAACAATAATGTAACAGTGTTACTTTAAAATCTCTACTTCTCTAGTGTTTGGATTGTTGTTTTGAAAAATGGACCCGTTCTATAAAAACAAGTGCAGTTCTACAAAGAGGTCAAGGTCTTAGCCATACTCTGCTTCTATCAATCAAGAGAAAGATGTTTGAAATCCAAAAAGATTACCACATTGCATGGACCTCAGATGGGGACTCACCTTGCCAGGGCCCAATCCTGCACCGCTGAAATCAAAGGGAGTTTTAACACTGATTTCAATGGGACCAGAATCAGGGCCACCAAGACTAACGAGTAGTTTGTCTACACAGCAATAAACAAACAAACAAACAAACAAACAAATAAATAAAAACCCAAAGAAACAAAAAAACCAACAACCACCAAACAACCTGCAGCAACAGTCTCAGGGCCCAGGTGAACCAGCTTTAGCTACAAGACTTAAAAAAGCCATGTAGGTGTTCAGGCTTGGGCAGGAGCCTGGGTTCCAAGATCCCCCCGCCTCACTGGGTTTCAGAGCCCAGGCTCCAGTAGTCCCAGCATCTACACAGCTATTTTTAGTCACACAGTGTGAGCCCCAGGAACCCAAGTCAGTTGATCTGGGCTCCGAGATTCTCTGCCACAGGTATTTATTTATTTACTTATTGATTTGATTTATTGCTGTGCAGACATACCCTGAAACAGACTTTTGCATGTGATGGAGTCTGACTGACATCAATGGGTCTCAATATAAATATCGCAGTCTCCTTCTGTGGAATTAGAGCCTAGTATTGTAAATAAGGCACCTTTACCAATGTTTGCTTGTTTTTGGTGGGCC